ATGGGCACCCGATACCTTACTCAACCAAGTACCAACGTAACGTATCTTTTGTATCATACTATCATAGATAAATCATCCGGAGAGGGTGTCGTGAGATAAGTAGTATAAAACATGAGGAAACACTCAACATTGGATGACCCAACATGTACTACAAACTTATACATATGACTTACAGGCCTATAAGGCCAAAATGATCACTCGTACACTGAACACAGGCCGACAAGGCCATACAATCCTTCATGTACATGACATATGTCTACAAGCCTCTAAGAGTAGATAAATACCACAAAGGTCGGGACAGGGCCCCGCCATACCAAATAATACACGTCCAAATCATACTGACCAAACAAGCAACTCCGGAGCAAATGGAGCGCACCAACATCTTCCGCTGAGCTGATAGCCTACTTGGAGGACTCTCGACCTGTCTATCGGGACCTGCGGGCTTGAAACACAGCATCCCCAGGCAAAAGGGACGTCAGTACAAATAATGTACTGAGTATGTAAGGCATGCAAAATAATGCATTCTGCCTGTAAGTCTAAATAACTTTGTAAATCCTGAAACATGTATAATGTCATGCACGTGCATATAAATGTTATGTCATGCATAGGTATAGGTGCATAACATCATCAAGCCTCTGAGGGCATCCCATCATATCATCTCGGCCACTGTAGGCAAAATCATCAACATATACCAGCTGATCAGGTGGTGGTGCATATATAACGCCGTAACCTTTTCCCATATCCTATATACATATAATATACGCGTATATAATGCCATATGGTCATGGGTCAATGTACATGTATAAATGCATGAAATGCATAAGAAGTGCGTTAATAAGATTTCTCGGAATGTCATAAAATCAATATGCCTTTTGGATAAACTTTATCAACTTACGTATTTTCTGAGACCCATGAACAGATGATAGAATAATAAGACACATGGGGAATCAAGAATATAGACACCCCTAGTATTTCTATGAATAGAGTCATTTATGAAAGTTGCGTATTTTTCTCGTTTCATTTGTATCATTTGGATCGTGCCAAAAGGAAAGAAGGGATAGCCTTAACATACCTGAGTCGATTCTCTTTACAATCCCTCTAACCCTAGTGTTTTGTGAAAAACGTGTAACGGCGGATCGAAGTAGGGAAGAATTCGTATGTTATTCTTGAGAAAGATTGCACCGTATTCCTTAAAATTGCAAAATCTCATGCTATATTGTGTTAAATGGTCTTCGTATGAAATGTTTTGAAACAACTATGTTGCTATTGCAATTCATTATCCTTGATGAAGCTTTCCTTCTTAATTTGTCGGAAATACATAGCAGCGTGGAAAAGGGATATTTAGTGCTCGACTCCAATCCACAAGACTATTACTTATCAGCAGCTTACTTAAATTTAATATACTATTGAATTGTGAATATAAGGGCCATTTATTTTGGGTGAATAAAAAAGGTTATCTATAACCTTTAGGTGTGGGCTCCACTATAAGACTTGGCCACCAAAATCCCCTCAAGTTTTGCCACCTAATTACATGAGTAAAGCGTCACTAATTGACTAAAGACTTTGCTGCCACGTTAAAGTTCCATAGGCTTATCCAAAGATTTTAACTAATTATCCACCAATTCTTAATTAACTTGTTAATTCCCCCACTAACCAATTATCTACATAATTAAGAATTATCTCAAATTACTTAAAATACTACTCATTTTTAGTACACCTTATACACCTCACTATCATGGTCATGTGTTACCTTGTATGGCACCAGTCCGTAAATACCGCGGATTATAGCTTGGACCGTATTTTATTCCAAATTGTCAAACTTTGACAAAACTCATTTCTTCGATTCGCTTACCCTCTCACCTTCACGAATTTACTTATCACTTGTTTAAAATAGCGTAATACTTATAATTTCAAAATAATCTCATTCCCGAACTTACGTCGATTAAGTTACGACAAAACTTTAACGTACGAAAATGTGGATTGTAACATCTCATTTCCGAGCTTTCATCGATTTATTTATGCGTACTTTCACATAAAAAAATATGGGGCGGAACAAGATTTTGCCTATGTCTAGTAAGCAACGCGATCGCGGAGCAGGTCTTGCGATCGCGAAGTGCTGTGTGGAGCTAAGGAAGGTTTGTTCTATGTGATCGCAGAGTGAAAATCACGATTGCGGAGGGTGGTCTGGTAGTGCTTCGCGTTCTCTTGCTCAAGGCTATGAAGGTGATAAGTTAGCAGCGATAGCCAGGGGAGGCAGTTGTTCAACGCGATCACGTAATGGCTTTCGTGATGGTGGAAGAGGATTTTCTGGGGGGCTGCAATGAAGCCATCACATTCACATTTGGCTGGCCGTATTTGCGGAGGGTCTAGTCTGGTAAGCTATCGCATTCACGAGGGCATGAGTCATGTTAGTGAAGGGAAAGTTTTGGGTAGAAGCATGTTTATGCTTCATGATCACGATGCCTTGGACCGTGATCGCAAAGGGTAACACCTAGGCATAATATAAGATGGAAGCTCGGGTTTGGCTCATTTCTATTTATTTTCTCTCTTGCTAAGGCAATTTTGGACGATTTGGAAGAGTCATTTTCATAAACTAACATAAGGTAAGTGATTTCTACTTATTATGAGCAAAATATGTATTATGTGATGATTTTAACATGGAAGCTAGTGAAATTTTGGTATTTTGGTTAGAAAACCTAGAAATGGTAAAAATGAGATTTGATCAAGAAATTTATTATGGAATCAAAAATAAATTATATGTTTGAGTTCGTGAAGCCATGGTAATTTTTAACTTGGAAATTTTCCAAAATCCTGGCAAACGTGGGCCTAGAGTTGACTTTGCTTGACTTTCAGCTGGGGTTGGGAATTGATTCTAATAGTTAAATTATGAGTTCTTGAGCGTATATTGATTGGTTTGCACGTTCCTTTGGCTAGTTTTGAGTTGCTCGGCATTGATTTGAGGTGTTAGTGAGGTGTAGTACCCAATTAGTGGACTTGGAAGCAAGGTAAGTCTCTTGCCTAATCTTGTAAGATGGAATTATAACCGTAAGTATTCTATTTGTTATGTGCTACGTGCTATGGGCGCTACGCACGTACGAGGCAATGAGCGTCCGTGTGTAAGCTAGATTCTGGATAATGTCTGGGTAGACTTAGACCTACATCATGCCTTAATTGTACTACCTGAATTAATCTTGCCTGTTTGATTTCTTGAATTTATAACTGAGCTTGAGACTAGAATTTAGGTATTTGACCGAGCCTCTTTACGTTGATTTTGGGCTGGATATTTGAGTGCCGGTAACAATTATGCTTTCTCTTGCATTCCTATCTTCATGTTGTGTTTATGTGATAGGTAGTTCCATTTTTTCTTAACTCGCACGTATCTTCGCGAGTGGGGCTAGTGGCCTGATGAAAGATTCTCTTTTCCTATGGGATTGGGACATTTGCCTCGGTAGTTTTATGAAGTATTATTATGGGAGCGGGTCAATTGTCTGGCAGTATTATGAGATACATCTACGGATCGGGCCTTGAGACCTTGGTGGTATTGTGTAACACTATTTTTATGGGATCGGGTCGTTCGCCTCGGCAGACTCGTGCATAATATTCGACAGGGAGTCAGCGTGAATCTGAGTTTTCCTGACTTGAGATTTGACATAGTACTTGATATAGGTTATCTTTGTTTCCTTCTAGGAAGTTTATGGTATTTGATGATTTTGTAATTATTCTTACCTTGAGAATCATGTTATATATATTTATCTATTTTGTTGCTACTTGTTGTGCTTCATACTTGTCTGCTTTCATGTACATTGCTATTGGACCACTAATAAGTGTCGATGTCAACCCCGCGTCACTACTTCTTCGAGGTTAGACTAGATACTTACTACTTACACATTAATTTACGTACTCATACTACACTTTTGCATTAATTGTGCAGGTACTAAGATACGTACTTCAGGTGGTCACTCAAACGCATAGTCGCATCACCTCGAGATTTAGTGGTTGCTGCTTTCCATGCTTCGATTCCCTATGTTTACTTTATTCTGTCTATTCTTATTCCAGACAGTAGTTGTAGTGATTTTGTATATTCTACTAGATGCTCATGCACTTGTGACGCTGGGTTTTGGGGATTTTTAGTAGATGAACATTTTATACCTGATATTTATGTCATTTCGCTTTATGTTTTGATTATTTCTCGTAATTTAGTAAGGATGAAAGTATTTTATTATGGTTTCTAAACCTAACTCTGCTCTATTATTGAAATTCTTGATTTTAAAAGATGTTATGAATGGTTATTTGTGTTGAGGGTTTACTGTTGCTTGCCTAACGGTGGCATTGGGTTCACGGCCTATAGTGGGAATCGGGTCGTGATGTGGAAGCCTATAAGCAACTTCCCCAACTCTCTCTAACACCTCAAGCAGGCCAACAAACCTCAGGCTAAACTTGCTCTTCTTCCTAAATCTCATCACACCTTTCATAGGCAAAACTTTCAAAAGTACCTTCTCGCCCTCCATATAAGCCACATTACGGACCTTCTTGTCCACATAACTCTTCTGCCTACTCTACGTTGTCCGAAGGCGATCTTGAAGCAATTTCACCTTCTCCAAAGCATCACGAACCAAATCCATACCCAATATCCTAGCCTTAACAGGCTCAAACCAGCCAATAGGAGAACGGCACCACCTACCATATAAAGCCTCATACGATGCTATCTAGATACTGGATTGGTAGTTGTTGTAGGAAAACTCCGCCAATGGTAAAAATTGGTCCAGTGTTCTCCAAAATCAATAACAAGAGCCCTCAACATTTCCTCAAGGATCTAGATAATCCACTCTGATTGGTCATACATCTACAAGTGAAATACAACGTTGAGCTCCACATGTGTGCCCAACTCTCGCTGAACAGCTCTCCAAAATTATAGTGTGAATTGAGTGTTATGATCCAAAATGATAGAAATGGGAACACCCTACAAACTAACAATCTCTCTGATGTAGATCTACGCTAACCTCTCTGAAGTGTAAGAAGTTATGACCGGAATGAAATGCACAGATTTGGTTAATCTGTCCACAATGACCCAAACAACATCAAAAAATTTCAAAGTGTGTGGTAATCCTACCACAAAGTCCATAATAATGCCCTCCCACTTCCACACTAGTATCACAAACCTCTGAGTCAACCCACCCAATTTCTGATACTTGACCTGCTGGCAATTCAAGCACTGTGAAACATGACCAATAATGTCTTTCTCCATCTTCCGCCACAAGTAATGTTGCTTCAAATCACTATACTTCTTAGTGACACCCCTAGATGAATACAATACCGAGAGATATGAGCCTCATCAAGAATCAGGTCCCTCAAACCATCAACATTTAGAACACAAATCCGATCCCGAAGCTGCATAACACCATCATCTCCAATCACCACCTTCTTTGCTCCACCTCGCCGCATTGTATTTTAGCACAAATAAGTGTGGATCATCATACTGGCGAGCCCTAATGCTCTCCAACAAATACGACTGCGCCACAACACAAGCAAGAATCCAACTAGGCTCCGAAAGATCCAATCTCACAAATTTGTTAGCCAAGGCTTAAACATCATCATCCACCAGCCTCTCCGATGCTGGTATCTATGCCAAACTACTCATATTCTCTACCTTTCTACTCAAGGCATCAACTACCATATTTGCTTGCCCGGATGACACAAGATAGTGATATCATAGTCCTTCAACAACTCCAACCACCTCCGCTTTCTTTAAATTCTTTTGCTTGAAAACGTGTTGGAGACTCCGATGATCAGTGTAAACCTCACATAACACGCCGTACAATTAGTGCTCCCCAAATATTGAGCGTGTGCACAATAGATGCCAACTCCAAATCATGCACATGATAGTTCTTCTCATGGGTATTCAACTGATAAGATGCGTAGGCAATCATCCTACTATCTTGCATCAAAATTGCACCAAGCCCAATGCACAAAGCATCAAAATACACAGTATAAGGCCCCAAACCCATGTGTAATACTAACGGTGGAGTTGTAGTCAAAGCAACGTTGAGCTTCCGACATCTCTCCTCACATTCGTCAGACCATCTAAAAAAGAGCACCCTTCGGAGTCAACATGGTCAATGGGACTGCGATATCTGAAAACCCCTCCAGTAAGCAACAACAGTAGCCGGCCAATCCTAGGAAACTGCGAATCTCTGTAGCTAAGTGGGTCTAGGCTAGTTCTGAACTGCCTCAATCTTCTTGGGGTCTAACTTGATTCCATCACTATATACAACATGACCCAGGAATGCAACTGAGTCCAACCAGAATTCACACTTCGTAAACTTGGCATAAAGATAATGATCCTTCAAGCCTGAAATACAACTCGCAAGTGCTACTCAGGCTCCTCTTTACTACGTGAGTAAACCAGAATATCCTTAATAAACATAATCACAAAGGAATCCAAATAATGCTTCAACACTTGGTTCATCAAATCTATGAAAGTTGTTGGAGCATTAGTCAAACCAAACAACATCACGAAGAACTCATAGTGACTATATCGAGTCCTAAAAGTCGTCTTAGGGATATCTGAAGCCCTAATCTTTACCTGATGATAGTCAAATATCAAATCAATCTTGGAGAAACCTTGGAACCTTGAAGCTTATCAAACAAATCATCAATACCAAGCAGTGGATACTTGTTCTTGATAGTAACCTTGTTCAACTGCCGATAATTAATGCACATTCTCATAGAGCCATCCTTGTTCTTCACAAACAAATCTGTCACACCCCAAAGAGAATCACTTGGTCTACTGAATCCTTTATCAATCAAATCCTACAACTGCTCCTTCAATTCCTTCAACTCGGTTGGAGCCATACGGTAGGTGGAATAGATATGGACTGAGTGCCCAGAACCAAATCAATGTGAAAGTCAATGTCCTTATCTGGTGGCATACCCGGAGATCTCCAGAAACTCTCTCACAAGTGTTACCGAATCCATAAAATAAACCTCCGCACTAGAATCTCGAATGTAAGCCAAATATGCCAAGCACCCATTCTAAACCATGTGTTGAGCCTTCAAGAATGAAACCACCTTACTAATAGAATGGCCAAGGGTCCCTCTCCACTCTAATCTAGGAAACCCCGGCATTGCTAAGGTCATAGTCTTGGCGTGACAATCCAAGATAGCATGATACGGGGACAACCAATACATACCGAGAATAACCTTAAAATCCACCATATCCAACAACAATATATCAACCGTAGTATCAAATCCATTAATAGTAACTACATAAGTCCGGTACACTCGATCAACTATTATAGAATCCCAAACCGGTATGGACACAACAACAGGAATATCAAGAGAATCACGAGACATGCTTAAGTGTGATGCAAAATATGAAGACACATAAGAATATGTGGAACCCGAATCAAACAACACTGAAGCATCTCTATGATAGACTAAGATAATACATGTAGTAACTGCATCAAACGACTCCGCCTCAAGCCTATCTTGGAATGCATAACAACGGGGCTGAACCCCACTAGTTTATCCTCTCATTTAGGACAACCTCTACCTGGATTACCTCCACCTCTAGCTGGCTAGCCTCCACCTCTGGCTGGCTGACCCCCACCTCTAGCTGGCTTAGCCGGTGGTGTAGTAATCAATGTCGAAATCATGACACGAGTATTCTACTATGACATACTGCTCTGCAACTTGAGACAAAACCTAACAACATGACTCAAATTACCACATGTATAAAAGAAACCTCTGCTGACGTAGATGTTGAACCTAAATATGTCCTTGACAACCCAAATAACCATAATGGTAACTTTGTATCAGAGGTGCATTAATGGGGCTGGAGGTGCACGGAATGTTGGTTGCTCGCAACGAGGTCCATAAGCACCATAGCCACTTGATGTACCATGTGAAATATTGAGTGCTACTGTACTGGTCGAATAGCATGACCTCTACCAAAATGACTCTTGCCTCTAGATGAGGCACCACTAAAACTACCAAAATGACAAGGCCTCTTATCATAAATAGCATCTCTCACCTAGTCTAAAATGCGCTCAATCCTCCTAGCAATCTCCACTATCTGAGTGAATGAAGTCTCAGTCTCAGGCTCTCTAGTCATCTGAAGTCTGATACCATAAGCAAGCCCCTCAATGAACCTTCGCACCTTCTGCTCTTAGTAGGGATCATGATAGCTATATGGCAAGACAAATCAACAAACCTCATCTTACACTGGATGACTGTCATACCACCCTACTGAAGACGTTTAAACTGGCTGCATAGCTCATCTCTCTAAGTAAGTGTGATGAACATCCCTAAGAACAACTATGAAAGCTAAGCCCATGAAAGAGGAGGTAATCCTGCTGGCCTGCCCATCTCGTACTTCTGCTAGCACCTCTGGACTGAACCATTCATCTGAAAAACATAAAGTCAACTCTATTGGATTCGACTAGTCCCAAATTGCATAGAATATCATGACAACGGTCTAAGAAGTCCTTGGCATCCTTTGAAGATGCACCATTGAAGTGAGGAGGAAACAATTTCTAGCTCTTCGGGTCGCCTAACATTCTCTTTTTTCCTAGGGTAGGGACACATACTAAGGTAAATATTTATCCCTTCTAGGATTCCACTACCTATCTTCTGAAATTTTTGAACATTCTAGTATTCATATCTGACTATACTATTGTAGAGTGCACCGTCTAGGTGTCTAACAAGGAGAACTATTACCATGTTTTGCACTATCCTTCGGAAATGTTAGCTAATGATAACAATCCATCCACAATTTTGGGTTACTCTAACCCTAGCTGGATCCTGATATCCTATCCTTCTCTTAAACTATATCGGTTAGCTCCCATAGGGTATAATTGAGATGGGTGCGGTCAATTGTATATATCTCTGTTACTATTGAAAGTAACTCAATTTTTTTATATTTCTCTGCCTGAATTGTAAACACTGATAATCTTCACTAACTGGGTACCTCATACCTTATTTACCTTGCTTCTTTTACTTGTTGAAATGTGTATCTACCTTCTGATTCTCTCATTTCTTTAAACCATATGGGTGTATAGATATTCATGCCTTAGGGCTCCTTATCAACAATCTTACAAGCCTTATCACACACATGATCTACTAAAGACCTCACATTTACTCATCATAAGAATGATTCAAAATTGAGTTCCTCTGACTCAACTCTTCCACAGCCACATTCAATCTCTTACCAGATGTCTTTCTGGATGTAGGTATCATTGTATTATGAATGAAATAGAATTTAGGAGCTTGAATTCTTACAACTGAGATCTACCATATGATTTAGAGTAAGAAGAAAGAGTGACAGTTCTAAATACCATGTAGCCTCCTGCTTATAAGTGTGGTGCACAACACACCCATAAACAAGACTCTACTAGACACGGATTGTAGACTCCCTAGGACAGAACTGCTCGGATACCACTTTTGTCACGACCCAAATCTAAAATCCACTTCGGGCACCCGGTGCCTTACTCAACCGAGTACCAATGTAATGTATCTTTTTTATCACACCATCATGGGAAAATGGGCTAAAAGGGCCATCATGAGATAACTAAAATAAAACGAAAGGGAATACTAGATATAGGACGACCCAACATGATATAGAAACTTATACATGTGACATACGGGCCTATAAGGCCAACATAGTCATTTGTACACTCAAAACATAGGCCGGCAAGGACATACAAGTATCCATATACATGACATCTGTCTACAAGCTTCTAAGAGTACATAAACATCATAAAGGTCGGGAAAGGGCCCCGCCATACAAATCAATACATGTCCAAATCATACTGACCAGATAGGAAACTCCGGAGCAAGTCAAGTCATCTTTCACTGAGCTGATAGCCTACTAGGAGGACTGTCAACCTGCCTATCGGGACCTGCGGGCATGAAACGCAGTACAAATAAAGTACCGAGTATGTAAGGGATGAAAAGAAGTATATAAAAGACATAAAAGAAATATGGAGTAAAGGACTCAACCTGTAAGTCTGAATAGCTCTGTAAATCATGAAACATTTATAATGCCATGCATGTGCGTATAAATTTCATATCATGCATAGGTATATGCGTACATAACATCTTCAAGCCTCTGAGGGTGTCCCATCATATCATCTCAACCTCTGTGGGCGAAATCATCAACGTATACCAATTGATCAGGTGGTGGTGTGTATATAACGTTGTAAACTTTCCACATATCCCATATATATATATATAATATACGCGTATATAATGCCATCTGTTCATGGGTCAATATACATGTATAAATGAATGCAATGCATAATGAAGTAAGTCGATAAGATCTCTCAGAATGTCATATATCAATATGCCTTCGGTTAATATCATGAAATAAGCTTTATCAACTTATGTATTTTCTGAGACCCGTGAACAGACGATATAGTAATAGGACATAAGGGGAATCAACAACATAGGCAACCCTAGTACTTTTAAGAATAGAGTCATTTGCGAAAATTACGTATTTGCTCGTTTCGTTGTATCATATGGATCATGCCAAAAGGAAAGAAGGGATAGCCTTAACCTATCTTAACCCTGTTGAGTCGTTAATACCTTCCAAGCAACACTTCAAACAACTCAACTCAATGTACCATAGCATAAGGAGATTCAAAATCAGTGTCGAGTAAAGGCTAAGTTCGTAACTTAAGCTATTAGCTTGTTGACGTAAATTCGATAGCATCTCCCCTGTAACAAGGGCCTCCTACATTACCGTATACCAACAACAAAAACCAGAGAAATCCAGAAACATATAAATATCAATAACATGACACCATATAACAACAACAAGTCACAACTACTTCACGACGAGCGGCAAGCTCCAATTGGAACCCCTATACCCCCATATCATCCCTTATAGACTTCTTACTTTAACTTAACAGTATCATTAACATGATTATGAAGTTATTCATCAATGATTCCAGCCTTATACCATATATTTATAACAAAGAAAACAATCCACAACTCCAACTATCCC